GCTCATGGTATTGGCATAAAGATCGCAAAGACGCTTCTGAGGAGCCAAGCGGGATTTGTGGGACGACGACGTCCGCGACGCAAGGACGATGTCGATTTGGAGAGTATCTGCAGGGAGGTAACGTTCCTGATGAATACTCGTCCGTTGGATTATGCTAACTCTGACGAGCCATCTGGCGAGTTTGTCGTGGTTACGCCTGATCAATTGGCTCGTGGATTTACTCGTAAGCGAGGTTGCGTCCTCGCTGGTGGCTCTTCTACTCTTCCTATTTCTCACCGCGTTAGAGCAGTGCGGTGTTATTTCCTGAATGAGATGTTCCGCGACATGAGGATGGCTGTCGCTCGCTCTATGGGGTACCAGAGCTTGAAGAACAAGATCCTGAAGCCTACGATTGGTGACCCAGTGCTGATCTACCATCCGGAAAAGAAGCTGAGCCCCGGATACCGTTTGGGTCATGTGAAGGATCTGCTAGATGAAGGTAGAAGGATCCGTATTGTCTTAACTGACGGTAGCGTTGTTGATCATCATCACTATAATGTTGTGCCGATTCTGCATCACCCTCAATTGTCGGGGCAGAGGGGGCGTATTGAGGATTGACGAGCCCGGTCTTGCTTTGTTCGTGCGTGCAGTCCTGTGTACGTGCGTGCCCCGCAATTGATGGTGTTTTTTCCCTGAGCCATTATATTAAATGACATTGATACGCTCAATCTCAGTTTCACAACCGTAAACTTGTCTACTCGTTGTTAATAGGGAGGGGAGGCTCTATCACGGCTTCAGGTAGTGGTGGTAGTAGTAGTGTGGAGTCTGGCATGTTGGATTATCGCATCAGGGCGGCGGCGGCACCATCGAGGGAATTGTTGGAGGAGTTGAAACCCACAGCATTGGACTTGTACCTGATGGGTAGTAGTAAGAAGGAGAATTGACGGCTGTCATGGTCACTGCATGGATACTATGATGTTTCTACACAGCGTGTTGGTGGATTGCTGTTGGGGGCTTCTGATTTGGGCATCTCCTGGGAGTAGGAGCAGTTCGGCAGGCGAACCTGGCATCGGTGGTGAAGTATGGTAAAACGTGATTGATGGTGTGAGTAGTAGCAACAACAACAGAGAATCTCTACCATGCTTGAAGGTGTTGGCGAAACTACAAGTGTCTTGATGGTAGCAGCTGAGCATGCTTACCCTCGACCATCCCTCTGTTGCCCTGAAGTTAAGTGTTGATATCGTCGAGCTCCTCCCAGGAGATTACACAGTTATTGCAATGGCCGTTATCTCGTCTGGTGACGCATTTATCCTTGCCGGTGACGGTGGGGGTGACTCTGACCATCTACTTCATCTACCCTACTTGTGCTGTCGGGAAGTGGTGTCAGTTGCCGCGGCTTCGACGTCTATATTCATAGTCTCGAGTGGTCGGTGGAGTTAGTTCACGATCGTCGTTGAGGCGGTGTTCGTTCAGATACGCTTGGCGGCTATGCTGTGTGTAAGACTGTAATCATTGAGATTCGAGGTAGATGGTCG